TGAATATTGTGCAACATTATTGTTAACTGTAGCTCATTTCCTTTTGAGATCTACCACAATGTAGCAGTTTATAATGTGTAATTACAATAAATGTAGAACATTTTACATGGAATTTTTTTTAAACTGTCTTAAATTAAACATTATTCCTTTTGCAACTTACATATAAAAATACAAAAGGCTGCCAAAAAATAGTGTAACAAGTTAAGATAATCTCAGCTCAGTCATGTTTAAATGAATGAAAATCATTTGCTTGTGATCTTTATAGAACTTGGAGCAATGTTTTATTTTTTTTGTACAAATCTCATGTACTAGTAAGAAAAGCTGTGTACACATTGTATCAAGTCCTCATAATGCAGTTGTGTAATGTATAATCTGGGAACATTTTAATGATCCATTGGTTGGTAAATTTATATGTTGTGAATTTATTTTAGAAATAAATGTGGTTTCAGAAATTGACTGATCCACAAAATTATATTGATTAAAAAAAGTAATCTCGTTACTTCACGGTTCGTTTCTCGCGGACTCACTCTGTCATGCTTTGTCTAAGTAAGAGTGGACATGACACACAATTGGCTGATTGATGGATGAGCCGCATGATCGGCATGGAATTTGTCTTTAAAATAGATTGTTTAAAATTATTTAGCACCAGCTGCACATGTGTGCAGCCCACAGCTGCAGGAGAAGTGGAGGAGAAGTGGGCGTGGCCAAGAGTGCTGACAGGTGGAAGAGAGCAGTCGAGGCAGAGAGCTGAGATCATGATATTCTGTGCTCTTTTAGAGTGTTTGGAGTTTAGAAATATTGTTTAGAATATTGCAAGAGTGTGGGAATGGTTTAAAAGGCCTTAAAATATATATTAGGGTTGTCAACGTTAACGCGTTATCGCATGCGATTAATCTAAAAAGATTAACGCATTAATATTAATAATGCAGATTAATCGCATTACCTATTTTGACCTATAAAGGCCTCTATCCTGTGGAGGGTTACCTGGTTATTCTCCAGATCCACCTTCCAGTCTAGTGGGGACAGTAATGCAATTAAATTAGTTTGCCAACTGCCAATAAAATCAAAAGAAGAAGAAGCAAAAGGAAGGTTAACGTGTTTTGATCACTTAGATGACACTTAATGAGACATTTGAGTTAACATTTATATTTGGTTTGAGACAATAAAATGTTTTCTTCAGCATTTTATGAAAACCTGCATATTTACATTTCAAGATAACAAAGTTAAGCATAGTGATTAATCAGAATAATTACAGCCACAGAGTGTGATTAATCTGATAAAATAATTAATCGATTGACAGCCGACAAACACACAGTAGTCCCTAGCTACTTAACGGATCGTTTATCTCTGACTCGCTCTATCGCGGTTTTTCAAAATAAGATTGGACATGACACACAATTGGCTGACTGATGGATGAACTGCATAATCAGCATGGAATTTTTATTTAAAATACATTATTAGAGAATTTAGAAACATTTTTAAAAATATTACAAGCGTGTGGGAAGGGTTTAAAATGCCTATATATGGTAAATGGCAAATGGACTGTACTTATATAGCGGCTTTCAATCTGATCTGGATACTGAAAGCGCTTTACACTAAAATCTGTGTTCTCATTTACCCATTCATACAGCACTCTACTAGATCTCTTTAAAGCTAATGGAACAAATCATTCTAAAGAGACTAATCAGTGCTTTATCACATTCATACACCGATGGGACACACATCGAGAGAGTTGTGATGTTGATAGAGGCGATGAGGGGTTCAGTGTCTTGCCCATGGACACTTCGGCATGTGACTGCTGGTGGATTCGAACCCCCAACTCTTGCATTGGAGGACGACAGATAGATAGATAGATAGATAGATAGATAGATAGATAGATAGATAGATAGATAGATAGATAGATAGATAGATAGACAGACGGACGGACGGACGGACGGACGGACGGACGGACGGACGGACGGACGGACGGACGGACGGACGGACGGACGGACGGACGGACGGACAGACAGATAGATAGATAGATGATAGTTTTTCACTTATCGCGGGGCTTCAGGTTACGGATCCCCCGCGATAAACGAAGAAATACTGTATATATATATATATATATATATATATATATA